CAATTACAATTTGTTATAGAACATAGCGCTTTATGAATATATAGTTCATTTGTACTAGGTTGGTCTGTGGTAATGGATAACGTAATATATTTAGTTTTTTGGGCGTTTAGACTTAATAAACTGCCCGACAACCAAGAGTGAATTTTTGATAAATCACTCTCTGCTTTACTGCAGACCTGTTCCCATGAGTCTCCCTCAACCAGTATGGCCGTATCATCAGCATATGAAATAAGGTGACCATATAGTTCTGGTATACTTGAAATATTGTTAATATAGACTAAAAAAAGTATTGGACCAAGCACTGTTCCCTGAGGCACACCCATACTGATTGTGGAAGACTCACTTAAGCACTCTGAAATTTTTACTCTTTGTGTTCGTTCATGTAGATAGTTTTCCAGCAGTTCTAAAGGTTTTCCTCTTATTCCAACATTGTTTAAACGTTCTATCAATAATTTATGCGAAACAGTGTCAAAAGCCTTGGCCAAATCTAAGAAGACAGCTAAGCATTTTTTGTTTTTATTTAATTTTGATGTTAATTCATTAAATAAATCTAAAACCGCTGTTTCCGTGCTAATATTTTTTCTAAATCCAAACTGCCTTTTTGAAAGAATATTAAAATTATTTAAAAAAGAAATAAGCCTAGACTTAAGACACTGTTCGAATATTTTAGCAAAGTTGGAAATAACTGAGATTGGCCTATAATTATTAACCTCTCTAGCGTCTCCAGACTTGTGTATAGGAGTGACAATAGAGTCTTTTCATTGAATGGGCACAATAACTTGTTTAAATGACATGTTTATTATGTGTTTTAAGGGTGTAAGTAAATGTTTGTGAATATTTTTTATTGTTTTGGAACTAATCTTATCTGGGCCATATGATGCGCTATTTTTTAGTTTATAAATGTGTAAAATAAGTTCATTATCAGTAACATTACTAAGGTAAATTGATGCATTATTTGAATTATTTGTATGAACATTTTGAAAATTTGTGTCTATCTTTTTTGCCATTTCGTTTCCTATATTTATAAAAAATGTGTTAAAAGTATTTGATATAAGGTTTTTATTTGTTGTTAAATTACCGCCATCTGTATATATTTCAGTTATTCCTATTTTTTGTCTTTTAGGACTTGTATTTGTTAATTCATTTATGTGTTCCCAAACTTTTTTTAAATTATTTTTGTCTTGATTTATTTTCTCTATATAATAGTCATTTTTAACATTTCTGATAAGTACATTTAATTTATTCCTATATTGAGTGTATTCCTGTTTTAGTTCTATAGAGAAGTTTTTTAGTAGCTTTTTTTTTAGTTTATCTCTGTTATGAATTGCATTTACAAGGGCATCTTTTATCCAGGGTTTGATTTTCTTATATTTTTTCCAATTCTGAACTTTAACTATTTTTGTAGAATTTTGTATATAATTTTTCAATTTGGTTATAAAAATGTCATAGGCCTTTTGCGTTTTATTAGAGCAGACGGTGGTCGAGTGGTTAGTGCAGCTGACTACAAGCCGGAGGTCGTGAGTTCGAATCCCACCAGGGGTATGGCTGTTTATTTGTGTTGTCCTATTGTGTAATAGTCCTTCGGAGGGGACTTTAAGCCCGCGGTCCGTTCCTACCCCTAACCCGCACAAGCCATTCAGTTGGCTTATGGGACTTCTTAAGAAGTAAGGGTGGAACTAAAAGAGCACTTTTGTATAAACTTTGTAGATGACGTCATTCCAGTTTTCTTTTGAGAGTTTATTGTTTAGCTTTTGATAATTTATAGTTTTTATTTCGAAAATAGCACTATATTTTTACAAAGAAAGTTTTTAATGTTAATAAATATCATATAATGATCCGTGAGACAAGTTTCTATTACAGCAGAACTGAACTTTTGTTGTGTTTTTGTTTTTAAGAAAATATGGTCTATTATACTTTTAGTATTGTCAGTTATTCTAGTAAAATTATTAATATAGTGTAAGGTACACTATGTATTTTCGTAACCCGATTCTTTAAGTATACTGAAATACTTGTTTTGGCATATTCGTGATCGTCTAGTTAATTTACTTACTTTATAAAAATTAGGACGTTGTTTATTTAAGTACATTGATAATAACGTTATTTTGAAATTGGTCAGGTTTAATGAAACACAAGTATTTAATTTAAGCAAAGACAAAGGGGTGGCCCGTTGAGTCAGAGCACAGGGAAAAGGGACCATAAAAACCCTGGCGACTTACACAGTTTAAATAAAAATAAAATACAAAACAAAACATAGTTATATGGGTCATAATCACTAGAATACAGTATAAATAATAAGTGAATAAAATAACATAAAAAGCAGATAAACATATTTCATATAATTTGGGTGTTTTTATCAATATTCAAAACATTTTGTACTCAGGTAAAATAGTTATAATAGAGATCGTCATTTTATGACGAAGTGTTGTACTTAATATTTGTTTACCTTACCACGCATCTTCGAACTATTGAACGAGGATACGATTTTATATAAATAAACTACAGCAACGACATATTTCTGATAGAGAGAATTCAAATGCCTTTAAAGAGGAGGGGAAACATGGAAAAATATAATCTAATGCAGATATTTAACCGTAGCCAATAACCACACTATGGAACAATAGCATCTCTGTGAAGTGATATAACGAAACCTAATGTCCTTATCTCACTATAGTATCCCTATATCACAATATGTTCAAATATTCTTACAAAATCAATGTCCAGCACAAGACAACAGTATTGTAAAAGTATACAAACAATTCTGCACCCAGAGTATATGTAGGTAATAACATAAAAACACTATTTTTGTTCTAAGGATAAATCCTTTTGAAATAATGCTAATATATTACCCATGTTCAAATATTCATGCATGCGCACTCTCCAAACGAAAACACAAATACAAATATAGACACAAATCAAATAAACAATATGCAATAAAATAAAATGGTATAAAATATAAATAAAATGCAATAAAATAATAAACAGGAGAGCGTCATAACAAGAAACATCTAAACATGGCCCGAACTCTAACCACCAGAAAGTGTCGCGCTGGATAATAATATAAAGAGATTTTTATCATATATAGTAACGTTAAAGTCATTATCAAATATTCCAAATAAAGCGCTAAGACAAGCAGTTTAAATCAAAGTCTCTATCCAGAATCTATCAAAAGCTAAACGATACTATTACCTTACCATGATATGACCTAATGGTAATATCAAATTTAATAATAATAATAATAGCAATAATAATAATAATAATAATAAACCTTACCCAAATAATACCAATATTATAATAGTAATATAATTGTTAAAAACTTTAGCCTGAGTACAAATGCAACGAGTTAAAATAAATAAATACCTTAACACCGAGATGATACACTGAGTTTCATAAACAATAAAATACATTTCAGTTAAATAAAAGTTATACAAAGTTATAAAAAAGGAAACAACAAAAACAACGTTATTTATACAAAGGTCAGTGTAACTCAAAATAAAGACAAGACAAAATATTAAAATTTAAGATAAATGTAATTCAGTGTATATGCGACAACATAAAGATTGGAACTCAGTGTAAGCGCGATCACAAGATATTAAACCCAAAATAATGAAATAGTGATACAATAAAAATCATTACCAAAAATCATTCGCTATTTACACATATTAAAATGATTAGGACCCAAGAAACTAGCAATGATAAACGTCATAGACAAAAATGCGAATTAAATACTATTGTTCAAAATTTTAAGCAAAAATGTATTAAAAAAACCTAAAACGAGGAGTTGTTTATCATTCCTAGCAAATATTACAATTTAAAAAAAGTGTACATACCTAATGATAGTAGAAAATCGGTAACAATCACAAAAACTATAACTATATTATAATATATTTCACAAACGGTTAAAACCCTCTGTGTGTATTATATTTCCTAATCTAGCTTTTAAACATCTCGGCCACTTAAGCAAGAATGTGTAACATAAACAGATCACCCCTAATATTCCTACGCTCAGATACAAAGAAGTGAAATTTTAAAACGCAATAGGATTTTAAACATAAAATAAATTAAAACTATAATATTATTTTTAGTGGAATATTTAAATTTTTCTTGGTTAAAATAGCGCCAAATTTGAATTTAAACGATTATGTACCACAGGACCCTTACAATAGGAAACAAAACCATATTCATATAGTAGACTTAAATAGTTTGTAACATTAATATCTGTTTTATTATTAAGGTTAATATTAATATCACCTAGAAAAATTTCAATTGATTTAAATTCTATAGCATTTAAATAGGTGTTTAAATCGTTTAAATAACTTAACACATTTATTGCAGGTGATCGATAAGATGCATTTATACCTATGTCAGTGTTTTTATAATTTATATTTGCGCGTAAAATTTTTGTTTGAGTAAAATTTATAATTGACACATGCGCATTTAAATTTTCTTTAATATAAAGAATGAGTCCATCGTTTTGATTAATATTTGAGTTATTATAAAATGTATTATAGTTTTTGATAGAAAAATCACCTACCTGTTCTATTTTCCAAGTTTCTGATAGTACTATAATGTCAAAGCTTATTGTTGATGATTGTAAATAAATTAGAAATTGTTCAAAATTTTTTTGAATACTTCTTATATTGCAATGAATAATATTTAAGCCTTGTTTATGCAAAACATCCAACTCGTTAATTTGTCTATAGACGCTACACCTGATTTCATCCTGCTCCTCCAACACACCAAAAAACTCGTTCATTCAATTTAACTAGTTTAATTAATACAAGAAATATGCAAATATAACAATTTTACCTAACTAAACAAGTATTCAAGTTCATCCCCCTGAATTGTAAAACTTAAACCTTAAAGAAAAATAAAAAGAAATAAAATACAAATAAATATTAAATTGTGAGAAAAATAATAAATAAATAAAGTGAAAAACATATATATCCTAGACTTTATTTAACTAATTTATTTAATTCATTTAAAGACTTAATACATTTTACGTTATCATTTATTTTTACATAAACTTTACCCCATTCAGTCCAAACATTTTTTAATTCAAGTTTTTTGACCGCCTCTTCAACAAGGGTATTTCTTGTTCTTGTTAAATCTTCTTTTATTACAATTCCACTTCCTTTTAAATATTTTTTATTTTTAAAAATCTTCTCCTTGGTTTTGCAATCTTGAAACTTAAAAATTCCTCTTGGTTTATTCCTATTTATTATTCCTATTCGGTAGCACATTTCTATTTCATTTGTAAGTTTAATATTTAGTTTAGTATTAATAAGATTGATAACATCTATTTTTATATTTTCATTTTGATTTTCCGGCATATTAAAAATTCGTATATTATTTTTTCTGATTTCCTGTTCTAAGTTGTCAAATTTGTCCATTGATACATATTCATTATTTATTAGATTATTTCGCTTATTGTATTCCACCTTAAAATCCTTTAATTCGCTTTTAATTTGGTTTGTTTCCATAATAACAGCTGTTAATTGTTTTTCGTGTTCATCCATTTTTTGTGTAATTGCCTCGCTTATTTGATGCGATACATTACTTACGATGTTTTTTATAAAACCCTCATCATTCCATATTTGTTTTATTACCACGTCAAACAACGATTTGATTTCCTCTCTTTGTTCACGTGTCAAAACCATTTTTAAATATTAGTTTATTGTCTATAATAATTTAAAATAGGTACCAAAACTAAACTTTTTTAATCATAATTTTATACGTTATTAGACTTTTTCACTTTTTGTATATATTTGTATCTTGTTTCATTTGATAATATTTAATTCAGCGGGAGCACCGAAACACTACTGCATCACCATTTCGCTTCACTTCGAATGGTTGCTTATGTTTGGTAAACTAAACTTAATTTTAAAGAAGTATTTATTAATTGAAAAATTATATGCTCTATTTAATTATTTTGTGTCCAAAAAATATTAATACATAAATTACTAAAAAGCGGTCTCTTTGGCGATATCATAAAAATTGCCACTTTATGATTAAAAAAAATGGATTAAAAAAAGAATCAATTATTTTGATTCATTTAAATGATTCGTATTCGTATTAATGGTGACAATTTACAACAGAGACAAGGGGTTGGGTCTCTGATTTACAAGTAAGCAAAATTAAAATCAAATCTTATAATTTAATAGTACAACCAAGTCATCACATACGATTTCTAGCGGCATGCAGCCAGAGACAAATCAAAATGTCCCTTACTTCTCGATCGTCATTCCGTCCTTGGCTACAACGTCTTATGCCTCTGCGGAGACACCCATGCTTACGAATATTGTACATTATCCTCTGGATTGTAGCTGCACTATTTTAAAACAAAGTTTGTATTTGGCGAAACGATCTACCAGTGTGATGCCATACCATAATTTGGTTCCTCACGGGTAAAAAACATGTTATTTGAAAAAATACGTTTTTATTCTTTCAAAGACGTACGCAAAGTCTCATTGCACTTCTCAGACTGACGCACAGATTATACGACGATTACACTACACTAGTTTTATTCAATTTTATCTATTCGTTTTAATACTGTATAATCCCAAAACAAAAACTCTTTTAAAAGATTGTATATACTTTTGTATATGTGGCTACCAGTTTAAGTTTGAAGAAAAGAAGTAAAGAGCAACTCAGAAATTAAGAACTTTAAAGAAATATTCACAAGTGAGTGGCGTTTTAAGGTTTCGACAGTAACAAATAATAATTTACAGAAAAAAGATGAAATAAGCCTTTTCGTCACTAGCAGAAGATATAACGATATTTAAAGTTTATTAACTTAATAAAAGTAAAATAATTAGAAACGCATTAAACATTGATCCACATGATGGTAAAGCTTTCAAAATATTATAAGAGATTTCTAGTAGAGGATCCCAAGTAAGGTCGACCTTCACCCATCTGCTTACCAGATGAAAATTATATTTTATCAAATAAAATATGTTTCTGAACATAAACCAATAGGGTTGCCATAAAAAATATGATCAAGGCTAGCTATAATAAATAAAAAATTAAAAAAAAATAATTAATTTTTTAAATTTCACCGACTTGCTTGCCAAATGAACGAAATTCCAATGGAAAGCATACAACATACAGAATATGTAACAGCTAGGTTGCCTACCTTTTTCTGGTCCCTATTACCTGGTTGCTTTGTACAGGGTGATCCCCTATAATGTCGCCCCCTTTAACTTTTTTATTTTAAAAAAAAATTAAAAGTTTGGTTATGTAGGTACTAAAAAATACTTTTTTTCTACGTATAAAGAAAATTGGAAAATTGATCAGTATACAGGGAAAAACAAAAAGTTTATTTTTTTTCAATGGATCACCGTATATATGAATTTATTTTTCGATTCTGAGCATAATTTATATAACAAACCATATACCTAAATTCAACCGTTTCTGAAATATTCGCATTCGAAATGTCATCATTAAATGTTTTTTTAAACTGTTAGAAATCAAGAAGCCTCAGTATACCAAAATTTTTATTGAAAATAAATTACTATAGTGACATTATGTCAATAAGTGTTGTTAAATAAGTAAAAATGGCGTACTCAGACAGAGAAAAACAAACTATTTCAACTTATTATCTTAAAAATAATTTAAATATTTCAGAAACGGTTGAATTTAGGTATATGGTATGATATATGAAATATGCTTAGAATTTTACAAGGAATCGAAAAATAAATTCATATATAGGGTGATCCATTGAAAAAAATAAACTTTTTGTTTTCCCTGTATACTTATCAATTTTCCAATTTTCTTTATACGTAGAAAAAAAGTATTTTTTAGTTCCTACATAACCACACTTTTAAATTTTTTGGGACACTTAAAATAAAAAAGTTAAAGGGGGGCGACATTATAGGGGATCACCCTGTACAAAGCAACCAGGTAATAGGGACCAGAAAAAGGTAGGCAACCTAGCTGTTACATATTATGTATGTTGTATGCTTTCCATTGGAATTTCGTTCATTTGGCAAGCAAGTCGGTGAAATTTAAAAAATTAATTATTTTTGTTTAATTTTTTATTTATTATAGCTAGCCTTGATCATATTTTTTATGGCAACCCTATTGGTTTATGTTCAGAAACATATTTTATTTGATAAAATATAATTTTCATCTGGTAAGCAGATGGGTGAAGGTCGACCTTACTTGGGATCTTAGACTATTACACTTAATTTTGCTTAACAAAAGTTGGATATTCATAATAGCACGCCTACTGAATTTGATAACTAGTAGTGAAAGCATAAAGTTTATTATTGTACGAGATAATATTTTAAAACAATTTTTTTTTACCATTTTGCCAATACAAAATCTTTAAGCTGCATTGCGGAACAAATTCTATATATAAACATGTTAAACGGCGGCTTTAACCTTAACTAAATTACCAAAACACCTTGCTTTAAAACAATCAGGAAATGTTATGAGACATACTTTAGAAATCCATAAATCTTATTATCGATTGCCAAATGATGCCTACCAAATGGCAAAAGTTTCACAGTTACTATTATTAACTTGTTATTATTATTATTTTGTATTTACTTTTAATAATCTCCTTTGATCTTAAATAACAACATTAACGAGTTTCTGTAGCTCAAAGCCTTCTTGAGATATTAACGAAAATTAAAACACCTTGTATTTCGGAAACGGTACGTAAGCAAAGCTTTTTGTTTGTGAAAAAATTCTTGTATTTATGCCAAAAAAAATTCTTGTATCACCCCACGAGAGATTGGCATAGTTAGCGTTTACACCTTGTATAAATACGTTTTTGTTTTAAAAATTTAAAAACATTTAAGCAATATATTTACTTTTTATAAAAACAATTTATAAAAGAGAAAAACTAAAAAAGGGTTTATTCCACTCAAAAATGTATGGACAAAACAAATTAAAAATTCCCTTTATTAGAAAAAAGTTACAGGGCAAGAATAAAATTCTGTTTTTTTTTTAAAACACTATATAATTAATCTTTTAGGTAACCGAAGCAGCTGCAAGTAAACCGATAGTGTTTAAACATGTCGGAACCCCAAGGAATAAGATTGAAAGTGACTTAGAGCTGCGGTCATTGTCTGAAACATCATTTACTAGTACCACATTAGAAACTGTATACTCTCATAAAGCGACAGTGGGTTTTCCATACACAGTAGCACCTTCCGGTGTTTCGCTCGATTCGGTAATATTTTCTCTTAATACTTCCATATTTAAGACATTTAGTAAGCCAATGCAATATTTGAGATACCTCGGAGTATCATACTTGGTGTTAATTTGGTTTGCCTTTTTTTCTGATTGAGTTAGGGGGTAATAATTCCGTAATACAAAATTTAACTTTGTAGTTTGCTGTTATCAGAGTAAAAGATATACAATTTATATTATTCATTTAAATTTTGAAACATTTAGTAGCTATGCAGAAAAATTTTCGTTTTAATTATTTCACCCCAACTTTTTATATATACTGTACGTTAAAATAATAAAACTCATCCAGTTTACTGTTTTGTATTTATTTCAGTCTATTAAAAATCTAATTAAAAGCACAGATACACGATTAATAAAAGCCAGTTATGCGTTAAATAAGTCCTTCTTGAGGAACCGTTTATGCAGACTTTTAATACACAATGAATTAGGGAACAACATTGACAAATTCGAGGCTTATCATTACAATCTCAGAAAAGGTAAGATAATGAAGTGTCACATTTTTACAGCTTTTTTTTCTTTCCGACATGATGAAATATACAAATTTAAAATCCAACGTTTCGATTTTTTTCAACCATCATCAACTTTATTTTTTCTTATGGATACCATATACCAGTATTTAACATATAGTAATATCAGTAGTTACTTTTATTATTTTAGTGTTGGCCAATCTGGTCTTCGTCTTAGTTTATTTCTTCGCATGTGATGACCTTTTTTTTCAGCCACTTTAAGGCAAATTTGACAAAAAAGGCCGGTTTTCTGAAATGGAAACCTTGTACCAGTCCGAGATGGTAATAATGAGCCTTCAATTTTCCATGAAATAATTTTTTTTGAGCATTTCAACTAGTAAAAAACGGTTGAAACAATTGGCTGAAGAAATACGACCTTTATTATTATTATTATTATTATTATTATTATTATTATTATTATTATTATTATTATTATTATTATTATTATTATTATTATTATTATTATTATTATTATTATAAAAAAACCAAATTTTAAGAAATATAATGTCTTGCCCTCCAACTCCAAAACTAAATGCTTCATCCTCCAAAGTAACCACATTAAATAATGCTGGTAGAAATGTTGTTATTTCCATTTTCCAGAAGCTACAGATAATGAAAATTTGGACCAAGTCCAAACAAATTGGGGATGCACTTTTGAGCACAGAAATGCTGAAATAACGTCAATACAAAAATATTTTGAAGCTTACCCTATTTTGAAACAGCCTTTAGGGCATACATTGGTAAGTTGTTTAAATTAAATTTTAATTTTTAATGAAGACCTAAATTCTAAAAAACGTCTTACTTACATTTTAGCTCGAACAAGATTTCTTCCAGATCCATAGCAATCGAGGAAAATTTGCAATATTATTTAAGTTCATGTAGCATTCGGGTTCAAATTGACGTCGTAAAAATTTTCACACGGCAAATAATTAGCATCAGCATTATCTAGATGA